GGGTGGTAGCCCCTGCAGGGGCCATTTGGCCCCTGTTGGGGGGCCATATCCCTTGTGTGAGGGATGAACCCCTTGTTGGGGGGGCTGTACCTCTTGTCAGAGTGCCAAAATGCCTGTTGGGGGTCTGAACCCCTGTTGGGAGGCCAAACCCTTTGTGTGGGGGACGAACCCCCTGTTGCGGGGCTGAAGCCTTTGTGTGGGAGCCATCGCCTTGTGGGAGGGCAGCAAAATATATATCCATGAAACCTGTATTTAGAGTTCACTTTACTATTATGATAAGAGACTTGCTTTAACACTGTAGATATATCAGTAAAATATTGTCCAACTGATTGCTGTCTCTGTCCCCCTCTCTCTCTTTATAGTGGTCTTTTGTTTTACTTGTGGAGGAACATGGATTTGTGGGTATTTTAGAGAGTGATTTGGGGATTTTTTTATCGGGGATTTTTCAGTTTTCCAATAGGGAACACCAGAATTCCTGCTAGGGAGGCCAGTGGCAGGACCCTGGCTGCTCAGATCCAAAGGGTCCACTTTGGACCCATCTGGCTGTGACTGACCTCCTGGCCAAATGGGGCCACAGGGACATGCTTTGACAGTTCAAAGCAGGCCATCGCACCCAGAACATCTTCCGGGTGATACATGGCCAGACAGGGGTACAAATGGCAGTAATGCCACACAAAACCCAACCCTGCAACCACAGTCCACTGGCAGCTGGTCCAGAGGGGCAGATGCCTCTACTGGCTGTTCAGTCCCCATTCGGGTCTGGCAGGTGCACAGCAGGTCATAGCCAGACAGCAGCCCCCACTGCCAGACTGCTGCAGTGGGTAGAGGGTGCAGGGAACTCTCAGGGCTGCTTCATGAGTCCAGCTGGCACAAGGGGTAGTGTCCCCAGGTAACAATTGGTTAGGCCCCAGAAGCTCCTGAGAGCGAGTAGCCCTGAGCTGCTTGCCAGGGTGGCTTTTTGTATTGCTGGGGCCAGGACAGGACAGCTTTTTATACTGCTGGGGGCAACACAGCTGCTGGCCCCAGGGTCTAGCTCCCCCTGACTGCAGATCCAGGAGGAGACAGGCAGGGCTATTTTGCCCCAAGTGGCACAGTTTGCTCCACAACAAAGCGCGTGTCCGAGCATGTGCGCTGAGGCAAAAAACCACGGCTCAAATTTGCACCGCTTCTGTTTGAGCTGCTGCAAGCGCACGTGCTTGCATGTGTGGACGCACCCTCAGAGTGCTGGCCTGATATTGCAGTACCTCTGGGCCCAGTACTTGTAGTTGGGTTCTGTTACTGAGCACATGCTGCTTTTGGCAGCAGTTTAATGGTAGACAGTGTAAGACCAGAGCTTTTTTCCCCGTAATTGTGGGGAAGAAGAAACCTTGTCTTGTATTCAAGTAACTATGGTAATCATAGATAACCTTTATTACTTCTATTGTTTTGTTTATTTATTTTTTTAACTCTGCATTTAGGGTTGTAGCAGAAAAGGTGAAGGAAGTGCTTTATACCCGACCTCGGAAGTATATCCATTGCTCCAGCCAAGAACCTGCAGAACCTGGTTACATCAACATTTTAGAACTGGCAGAATCTGTGTGTCGCTATGACTTGGATGATATGGATATCTTTTGGCTTCAAGAACTAAATGAGGAGCTTACAGAAATGGGTAATTTTTTAAAAATGAATCATTAAAAAGTACTTTGCTATGCATTTGAGTTGGATTCTGTTTGGTTGTTCTGAGGATATGAATAGAAGAAAACAAAGGAAAGAGTAAATCTAGGAGAGCACTGTTAGGGGAAAATGTTGACAGCAATAGACTTACTAGATTAATTAAAAATATTCTACCATTTGTACCAAAACAAACTTTTTCCCATCCTTCTTGATTTAGATTTGAGAAAACGAAAAGTCCAGGCAGGAAGAACCAATTTTAATATCCTAGAAAGAGGTGGGGGAGGGGAGGTTCTCTCTGAAGTATGCATTTTTTCTTCCACAAAATGAAGGTTTTGAGGAAAGTGCAGTTACTTCCTAAAGGAGCTTTCATTCTAAATAGAAACCTATAGTTCAAACACCCAGGATAGTGCAGTGGTCTGATACTAGTGTAGCAGATCCTTTTAAAAAATATTTCTGTTTATAGTGGATTAATTCTGATGGGACAAAACATCTGTGTGTGAAGTTTAAACAGAGACTTGGTAGAAGAGAACAGCATATGTGGACAAATCCAGAATTGTTCACTCCTCCTTATGGCATATTCATCTGCTAATATATTAAAAAAATAAACTTCATGGTTATTATGCTGATCACTCTGGGTTGTATTGGCTTGGGATGTATTTGAATGTTTTTTAAACCATTTGTATCAACATATCTGAGCTTTCCTTTACAGAAAATTACTTGAGAATGGAGGACTTTTTTTCAAAAGCACATTGCAACAATTATCTTTTATATGGCAGTGTATTTTAAGGGGTGGTCTTGAAGAGCAACGACCATACCTCACCATTTTTTATTCTAAAATGTGGTTGGTTGGTTTGTAATTATAGTCTTGAAATTAGACTGTAAACTTTATCAAACCAAATCAAAATAGCAGAGAAAAGTGTAAAGGAACTCTTAATACCATTTTTTACATAATGATAGAAGAGTAGGTTCTGTTCTATTATTGAGTTGCTAGAGGTATAATTTTTTTTTTTTTGCATGTATTCCCTTATTCCTAGATGGCCATAGGCATTCTAATTCCCCTTCTCCACTGTTTTAGGATGTGGGCACCTGGATGAGAACACAATGGAGAAGACAATAGAAGTCCTAGAACGGCACTGTCATGAGAATATGAACCATGCTATTGAAACTGAAGAAGGGCTGGGCATAGAATATGATGAAGATGTGATCTGTGATGTGTGCCGGTCCCCTGACAGTGAAGATGGGAATGATATGGTGTTTTGTGACAAATGTAACATCTGTGTCCATCAGGTTTGTGTTAGCTGCAGAGATGTTGAAACTACCCTACGTTCATTTGTTTTATTATAGTTCTGCATTCATTTAGCTTTAAATAGCAGTTAGGAGCATTCTGAAGATCTTCTAAATATGAAGACTGCCTGAATGCTGAGCTGGACTTCTGTGCTAGTGCCACTACAGTAAATTGTACTGTCTAGCACAGTGAATATTAGAGACTTGTGGTCTGTGCACAGCAGCAATACATGCTGGTCTAATCCCAGCTCTAGCAAGGATCCACTCCATGGTCTTATGCATAATTCTTTTGCTGTTTTTAAAAAACAACACTTTGAAGGTAGATAGGGCTGTGTAGACACTGAAATGATGCTTAAAATCTTGATCAGCTAGTTCACGGATTCTCAACCAGGGTGCTGCAAGACCTTGCCAGATGTGCTGTGATGCTGGCCTTGCTGCTCTGGGGAAAAACTGTCCCATGTGCCTAGGTTTTTGGGAAACATACTGGAGTTGAACTAGGAAGAGCTATAGCAGAAAGGTGTGCCTGCTTGCATTACATGATGCAGCCAAGTGCACCTTTCTGCTCAGCTCTTCCCAGGTAATCTCTGACATGCCTCGTGCCCTGAGGCATTCCAGGGCAGTTTCTCCCTGTGGTGGTGGCAGCCTGGAGATAGATGCCACTGCCACCAGGTAAAACTGTGCCATGTGTCTCAGCTTTTGGGAGGCACATAGGAGCCAAACTGGGAGGAGCTGTCGGAGAAGCAGTGTGCTTATCTTCGTAATGCACTGCAGGTAGGTGTGTCTTTCTGCTGTATCTCTTCCCAGTTTTAGTTCCAACGTGCCTTCTGAAAGCCAAAGTTTGTGGTGAAATTTCACTCCATGGTGGGGTGATGACCACAGTGATGGCACTGTCTTTGGCCTCTCTTACCCCCTCAGTGTTCCCCAGGTGAAGCCCAATGCCTCATCCCTCCTGGTTGGGTGTTCCTGAGCTTTACCCCTTGGGATTTCGGGGATGGAGTCCAGGGGGAATTGCCCTAGGGAAGAATTTAACACTCTGGTTCCTGATCCCTTCTAGTGACCTGGAGCTATTTGTGGGGAGTCCACTGCTGCGCTGGGAGGCATTGTGTGCTGGGTCAGGCAGAGCTAGAGGATCGTTTTCTGCCAGCAGCCTGAAGGGTTGAATATTGTATAATCAATTAATAACACTTTAATAGCATAATTAATTATTTATATTATAACATCCAAATATATTGTTTTTTAAAATGGGGTGCTGCTAAATTCCTGAAAAGTTTTGAAGGGGTGCCTAGAGTATAAAAATGTTGAGAGCCACTGAGCTAGTTAATCGGGACTAAACTTCCAGACCTACCTGCCTGAGTATGGGTTTGAGAATTGCCTAAATCTAGGTTCCTAAATAAGTTTTCTGAAAATCAGTCCTCTTAGGTTTCTGGAGCAAGCTTACTCTAAGCTAAGAATATTCTTTATGTTTATGGCATTGCAAGCATTATTTTAAATACAGCACCCAGATTAGTTCAGGGGGAAATTGCACAGGTCTGGCCTTGCTTATGGACTGACCTTGGGTTGTAAAGTATCCTGCCTTGATAAACATTATATTCTTCTCTTTCAAAATTACACCAAGGTTGTTCTTAATATTTTGTGATAAAGTTAACTGAACATTCAGGGAACTTGGTGTAGGCCCTTAAGTAGTTGTTCTCTATGCTGAATCACTTTCTGTGCTTTCTTGATTTACAAGAGCAGCATACAGTGATCACAGTAAAATTACCTTCCCAATTGTTATGATTTCCCCACCATGCAGCATAAATTCTGATGGGAGATTTAAAATAGTCTTTGGCACATCCTGAATACTGTACCCTTTAGATAAACCACAGGAAAGAAAGTGTGACATTGAGACAGTTTAGTTTCTCTCTCCCTCTTTCTCTGTCTCCCTCCCTCCCATTCTCTCTCTCTCTCTCTCATTTTATTTACTATTTCTTTTAAATATGAAACTTTAGCCACCTTTTTGAAAACAGTGTGTTTTTTCTTAGTCTAGGCTTCCTGGAATAAGAAATGAAGCCATTATTAACTAACTAAAATCAAAGGAGCAAAGGAGTTTGAAATTGGACTTAAGCTTCTAAAAGTATGTTGTAAACTGGGTAAAATGCGTCTTTTGCATTGTAGTTTAATAGTAGTGGACGTAAAAAAAAATAGCTGTGAACATAACATGTCACATGTTAAACAGTCCGTTTATAGCATCTGGCAAAGTAGGTTGTTGCCTACGAAAGCTCATAGCTCTCTCACTAGTTAGTCCCTGAGGTGCTACACTGCCCTACATTCGGCTTCACATACTTTTAATAAAAAAAAAGCTGACTTGCTAAGTCATTGGACCACAGCTCCCTCCAGTGGGTTTTCAAAAGAATGCTATTATTTTTTTTCCTTTTAGCTCTCCTGTTAAAATTGATGTACAGTATTTCCATATCAGTTTGACATTTAGTGCAAGAATTGTGACATAAACTTAGAAAAGCCATTTTTCCCCTTATTTTGCTCCTCCTTATTTAAAAATTAATATTTCACCTATCCTTATACTTACTTGTACTACTAAGGGCTTGTGAATCAGAAAGCCAGGTCAGCAGGTTAAAATATTCCATTATGGGAATCCCAGCTTTATGCAGTATACTGAGTGCCTGGGGACACTGAAAACCTTAGGCCTCCCAAGTGCTAACCAACATGCATAGGAGAAAAATCCACCAAAGTGAGTACTGTTGGGATACTTAGTCTAGACAAGCTTCAGGCTCTCTAAGCACTCACTGTCCTCTAATGCTGCTTAGAGCATCTCTAGTACCATCTTGAGTTTAAAACCCTGACTGCCTTTAATGGTCCACCTAGAGTAGGGCTCTTGGCATTGGTAATACTAATGAAGCAGGACTGTTAGAAATCATGGAATACTTTTGAAAAACTTGTTACGTACAGGAAATTATTTCAATATTAAATCAAATCTTTTTAGCAATTGAAAAATTTTGATTGATTTATTTTAATACAGGTTCATGTATATACCTAGATAATTAAGAAACGCAACTGTGATTATCAGCTTGAACAAGAAAAATAACATGCTGTTTAAAAGTTTGCTTATTTCATAAGTTCTTCAAACTTGGCAATGCATGCGCATTTCCAAGTTGGAATTATAAGTCCAAGGTCTGGGAATCTGTGAAAATCTAAAGAGCGTATCTTGTGTTTTGGATGGTTTACCTAATTTTCTTTTAAAGTGAATGCTTGTTATTACCAGAGTACAACAAAAGTTATTTCCGTTGTCAAGAAACAACCAACATGGCTATCTGTATTGTATCTGGTTGTATTAAGAAGGCAGCAAGCATTTTTTAGAACTATCTTGAGCAAAATATCTGCAGCAAAGACATGAAGGAAAAATGCGCCTTCCATGCCCTTCAAAACTTTAACCAGAATCATGTCAAATTATAACTTTTATTAATAGCAGGGAATTGGTGATTTTTAATTTAGTGTTACATTTCTAAGCTACAATTTTAGAAAGTCAATAAATGCAAAAATTAGGGAACTTAGTACTGTGTTTTATAACCAGGTTTTATGTTTTGTGCATATATGTTTAGTAAGTAAATATAATAGTACATAGTTTAAGAAGAAGAAGGCATTAAAAAGTTGTCGGAAACAACTCTTGTCACTCGACTTCTTTAATTATAGTATTACATGGAGATTTTCCAAGAGTACAAAGGACAGTTGGGTGTCCATCTTCTGTCAATTTTTAATGACAGTTGGGAATCAAAGTTGCTTTTTTTGCATTTTGAAGCCTTTCTATGGCATTAAAATTAGCAGTTACATTTACATGCAAAAACGTTTGTATATTGAAACTGGTACACTCCAGAGCCTATTTTTGATAAGGGCCATACAGATTTACATCAGAGTGCGGGGGGAAAAGTGTTTTGGCAGTTTATAGCGTGTAAGTTTTTAAAAATAATCATAATCCCCAAATTTCTTTTATCCCAAGGCATGTTATGGAATCTTAAAGGTTCCAGAAGGAAGCTGGCTGTGTCGTACTTGTGTTCTGGGAATACATCCTCAGTGTCTCCTGTGTCCAAAGAGAGGAGGTGCCATGAAAGCTACCAGGACAGGGACGAAGTGGGCACATGTGAGTTGTGCCCTCTGGATTCCGGAGGTAAAGCTCAATTTACAGTTTCTTTCCTGTCATTGTCCTTACCTTCTTTTCTGCCATATTTTACTGATTAGTGCAACTTGATACTGGATATAGTTCTGCTGAGATTTGTATGATTTGAAGAGTCCAACTTTGGATGCTTTTCTTAGAGAAACATGCTGGTGATTAATTAAACTGTCCTTTCCACTTATTGTAATAAGATCTTTCCAGACATATTGATTCTGGCATTGGATTGGCTTACAAGGGAAGTTTACTGATACAAGCTATTGGTATGACCTGTGCCAATACAGCTGCAGTTCTTGAATAGTTATTTCAGTTTCCTTCCCTCTTGTTTACTTGATTGAGGATTCACCAACCATTTAATCAAGTGTCTGGTTTCAATGATAGCAGGTGCTTTGAGCTATGCTGTCTGTCTTTAACAGCTGCTGCAGTCCTTCTCTGACTTCATTGTGTTGCATGTTCATGTGGAGGTGGTTGGCTCTGAAATGAGTACATCTCTGTAATAAAAGCAGCATATGTAAAGTGTGTTTTTTCTGAGCACTGTGGTTAGAAGTTTTCCATCTGTTTTTAGTATAGTATTTTGAGATGTCCTGCATTTTACATTAAGTTTTAAAAAGAGCTCAGTCACTGATGCAGTAGTTTTTCACCTTAGAGTGAGGGTATAAGACTGTCTCAGTACTTTTTTAGTCTAATGTGGTCTCAGTTATGGGTTGTATTTGTTTCCTAAACATGTAAAGTGCATAGCTTTTGAAATAGTGTGTCCCTTGCTTGTTGCTAAGTTCTGCAGGTAGCTGAGCTGGTTATTGGGTCAGCATTGAAATTACTTAATGTCCTTGACGGTCCCTCCATTTTTTTTTTCTGACTTCAGAGCGGTTGGTACCCCAGCTAGTCCTCTCTATTGCGGGACGTAGTCTAAAAATTGGAAGGTTTGGAATTGTTCCCAAAACAGGCTGAGTTGCACCTTGTCTGTATAATTTCCAGCTGTGGTTAAGGATAGGTGTCCACTTAACTCTGTTCCCTCACACTTGTTTGAGGTTTTTTTTGTTGTGGCTCATAACCCTGTAGCTGTTGGGGAGAGAGCTAAGTCCAAAAAAGCCAGACCCAAAAGGAAGGGGCTGTCTCTCCTTCCCCTTCCTCTGATTATTAAATCTCTCATTGGTAGCTTAGCAGGTTTTGTGTGTGGTATGGCTTGCCTTGCAGGCCCTTCATGGGGGAGGTTGGCCTGGCTGCCCTGCTTTAGCAGGAAAGAAAGCAGGCTTGAAGAAAAGTTGGCTCCTGGCCCAGCAGGCCCCCCCCCCCCATCATGAGAAGTGAAGCCAGAAGGGCAGCATGCCAGGGCTGAGTCCTAATCATCTGTACTAACAAGCGAGCTGGTGACTGGGTTGGGGAGACATAACAGAAAGGCCTCCAGCACCTGTATGTATAGAAAATGGCTGTTGAGTCCAACCACCATCCTTTTGCTGCCACTTCTGTAGCAATTGCCATCCAGCCTTTCTCATCTCACACTGAAACCTCCAGGAGAAGCACAGGCCCACCTGGGTCTATCTAGTAGAAAGAAGCAGTATTTGGAAAGCCTGTCCTTGAGCCCCAGCCCAGCATCTTCCTGGAGAGGGCCATCATTTCTCATTTTATTGGAAGACTGTTCCAGACCCCCACTTCTCTGGTTTGAAGCTCTTATTTTCAGCCTAAACTTTCAGGCAAGAGTGTATTGAGCATTGTGGAACTGCACATAGGTCGGACTTCACATACCCTTGTAAGATGTGATGAGATTCCTGCTACAGCTGGAAGTGGCAGGTGGAGGGTGGGGGACATGTCTTCAAGTGTTACAGCCAGCTGCTGCTGCTGTTTTGGGGTGCCTTACACAGGATATTGCATTGTCATTCCTGTTTGCTACAAGTACTAACTATAGTCAAGGCAATTGTTGGAAGGTTATGCCTTGCCATCATCATCTGCTATCAGAAGGTAGGTTGGAGAGGGCCAGATACAGAATAATTGGCAAGTAGTGATGGTCCTTTTGACCCGTGATTTAATTCTTGCTTTTTTCCCATTTCCATCTCCCTCTCCATTATGTAATGTCAGAAGATTCCTCACTATGCACCCATGGGTGGGGGTTGCCATCTTGAAACTGGAAAATAACCATCACATACTAAAAAAATCAAACATCTACTATAACTTATTTAAATTTTATTTAAAAAAATATTTCCTGATTTTACTAGAGCGTCCCTTCCCTCACCCATG